TGAGGGAAATTGTCTTTACCAGATGACGTCACCCCAAAAGCCAGCCTCCGAAAGTTGGGTTGTTTGGAAGCCAGCTCGACTCAGAATTGCTAGACGGATGTTCTTTGAAGCAAAGTGCCAGAGTGCAGTGCAGAGAGTTCTTTATTCCTTGTGGCAGCTTGGAGCTGACATAGCATCATATTTTGGAGCTAATGTCGACAGCGGATATCAGATTCCTGAGTCGGAGCTGAGCCCAGGAATGGTCGCGGGCTCTCTAGTTACCAATGGGATGGGGGAGGTCTCTTCAGTTACCAATGGGATGGGGGCTGTCTCTTCAGTTACTAGTGGGATGGGTGCAGTCTCTTCAGATATGAATGGGATGGGTGTGGTCTCTTCTGATATGCATGGGATGGTCTCTCCAGTTACCAGTGGGATGGATGTGGTCTCTTCAGTTACTGGTGGGATGGTGGGAGTCTCTTCAGTTACCAGTGGGATGGGTGCTGTCTCTGATATGCATGGGATGGTCTCTCCAGTTACCAGTGGGATGGGTGTGGTCTCTTCAGTTACTAATGGGATGGTGGGAGTCTCTTCAGTTACCAGTGGGATGGGTGCTGTCTCTGCAGTTACTAATGGGATGGGCGCAGTCTCCTCAGATACGAATGGGATGGGCGCTGTCTCTTCAGATATGCATGGGATGGTCTCTTCTGCTATGCCCTCTGATAGGGCCTCTTCTTCTCGAGATGTTGAAGTTCCCTGTGAGCGGGGGGGGCCTAGGGATTCCCCCAGGCCCCCCCCGAAACGTCGGAGGGTGGCTGTTCCTGGACCTGGACAACAGACGGTGTATCCTCGTGCGCATCGTGACGCACGCCGGCTTCTGATGTGCTGTACCCCGAGGTGGGAGGAGAAAAGGACACTGGAGTCAAAATATTGGCGTTCACAGTGGAAGTGGAAGGAGGCCTCGAAACTGACACGATTAGGCAGTACTAAGGGGCAGGCGACGGGTGAACATCCTTGGTGTTTCATGTTCCAGACGATATTTCCCTCGTTTGTGAATCTGGAGGATCGGTGGTGGAGGGCGTGCTCTTTCTCTTACTCTGACTTCGTTCAGTATTGCAGGCAGTTCCTGGAAGCTTGTACTTTGGGGTCTCTGTTTGACTTGTTTGTTGTCCGTGGAGGAACTGGAGGGAGAGGAGACTACATAAAGGAGAGGGGGGAGGAGATGTTGGCTCGTCCGTTGTCGGCGAAGGAGTCCGAGAAGCTGGCCCAGAGATTGGCCTCGAACAATGAACAGGAGCCGACTTGGGATCTGAGTGATGATGGGATCGGTCTCGAGCTGACGGGCGATTCGCTTCTTATCTGTAACTGGATCAATGGTCTCTGGAAGGTTGAGGGAGGAGAAGGAGGAGATGGGGCTTCTTATCGTAGGCGGGTGGCAAATATTATTTCTCTTTTGGAAGAGTTGGAGGAGGAAGGAATACGACCCCCCTCATGGGGCAACGACTTCATTCGACACATATATCGAGAGAGTAACACAGTAGCTGATGAACTTACCCACTTAGCACGGGAAGGCCAGATATTCAGAGAGCTGTTCCACCACCATATCTTTCGTTCTGATGTCCGAGACAACTTTCGAGTTATTGGCCTCCGCGGATCCTTCGACGGCGGAGTGTGTGCCCAAGGTGTGGGCGTTGGCTGGTTTCTGCAGATTGGATATATTCCTCGATTCCATGACCCTTACCCTGACCCTGAGCATAGAGATAAGAGAGCTCGTGTAGTCTCCCTCTTCCCCCAAGCCTCCTCTCCTTGTCCAATCATATGGGAAATAGTAGGGCGTTGTGCACAGGCACTCCCCTCCCATAGCAGTATCACTGACGCTGAGCTTTCGGGTCTCGAGGGCCTCTTGCGGGCCGCAGTCCAGGTGGCCCAAGACCTCCAGCTGCAGAGAGACTAGGTAGGCACTTAACGGGCGCTGGGGCGCTCGGTGCCTGGTCAGCCTCCCCAAAAAAAAACAAAGGTTGACGGTTTACCGCCGGCGCCCAGTTGGCCGACCCGACCAAAAGAGACAATGTGGTGACTTTGGGTCGGTTTTGCGAATATTTGAAAGATATTTGACAATTCATTTGGAGAACGGGCATTTTTCCTACGTATAGTGGGGTATGCCGCGTCTGCCAGTAAAATTTTCAGGTCCGTAGCTGCAGTATTGCGATCAAAACATTTGGGGGAACCGACGTTGGATCAATTCAGAAAAACGTGATTTTTCGAGTTTCTCAGGTCTCGCTCTAGACGCTTTTTTCATGCTTACCGAGGAGCGCCGTGTGAGAAAAGAGCTCTACGAGGACCCCGGCGGTAACCTGGTTGACGGTTTACCGGCGGTTCCCAGTTGTCTCAAAAGGTGCGTCGCTAACTAGCTCGACCCTGCGCCCAAACTGGGCGTCGGCGGTAAACCGTCAACCTTGGTTACCGCCGGGAGACTCGTAGAGCTTCCTTACCAGATACATATTCATATGTATACATACACATATATATATATATATGACTCGCATGCATGTGCAGAACCATTCTTCATTGCCATCTAGAGATAACACTATGACAGGGCACAGGAGCAGAAATAATGATAAAAACAGGAAAAAACACGAACGGGAAAATAGAAAAATAAGGACATAGGACAACATAAAGAAGAGCGAGAGGGAGAGAGAGAGAGAGAGAGAGAGAGAGAGAGAGAGGAAGAGAGGGAGAGAAAGAGAGAAAGAGAGAGAGACAGGGAAACAACAATGAAAAAAACTGAAATAAAAAAAAGAAGGAGCGACAGAGTGAGAGAGAGAAAGGGAAAGACAAAGTGAAATAGAGAGAGAGAAAGAGAACAACAAGAGAAATATAAACAATTCCATATTCATACCAACTGGACACCCGTGCTTCTCGTCCTAAAGAACGAGCTTCTCGGCGCGGAGTGGGCATGTTCTCAGGTCCTTTGACCAACCCCTGGAGGCAAGAGAGAATGAAACAGAGAGGGGGGGAGAAAGAAATCTGAAACGGAGCAAAACAATTCCATACGCATATCAAGTGCGCCCCCCGCTTCTGGGCACAGAATCAACGTGTTCTCAGGTCCTCGAACCTCGCTGCTCACTCCCGACCCGTCTTTAAGAGCCCAGGCCCGAAATGACCAGATCGTCCTCGCCTCCCCTTTATCCTTCTCCCCCTTTTCCTTCTTCTCCTTCTCCTCCTCCTTCTCCTCCTCCTCCGTCGCGGGCCCGTGGTCGCCCTCGCCCTCTCTTTCTCTGCCCTCCCCCTCTCCCGTCTCGGAGGCGTAGCGAAGTTGCCGCGCGCGCGTGGCACGCGCATAGATAGCGACGCCGCCGTAGAAGAGGTGGACACGAGGCTGAACGGGACCCTGCGAGGAGACGGGCAGACGGGCGGGGGCGCCAGGGGGGCAGCCAGGACGGCAAGGAAAACCGGTTGCAGAGGAACCAATCAAATGGGATGCGAGGGCGAGGTCGAACGATTGGGGACGGAGAGGGGGTCGAGGAGGAGGAGAAGAAGCAAGGAGGAAAAGGCAGCGTTTGGCCAGAGAGCCTAAGGATGTTGAATGTTAGCGCCGCTGCGCCAGGACGCAATTGGGCGACGAAAACACAGAGGTGCTTCAAAACACAGAGCGACTCACGTGTCTCTCGCGGGCCGACGGGCCGCCCCGCGGCCCGCCGCGTGGAAACGAGGGCACTTAGCTCGCAACCTTACTCGTGCAACTTACGCGTGAAGGTGACCCCGCATGGTTCGTCGCCCAGCTCGGCCGCGCAGCGGGGCGGCAAGCTGGGGCAACATCACCATCATCATCAACATCATCATTATCATTATCATCATCGGGACACCATCTTCCTCAACATCATAATTATCATCAACATCATCATCATCACCATCATCATCGGAACACCATCATCATCATCATCATCATCATCGGGACACCATCAACATAATCATCATCATCACCATCGTCATCATCATCATCGGCGCGACATCATCATCGTTATCATCATCATCAACAGAACCATCATGATCAGCATCGTCCTCATCATCGGGACACCATCATCATCATCATCATCATCGGAATCACCATCAACAGCATTATCATCATCGGGACACCATCCTCATCATCCGATCAGCATCATGATCATCATCATCATCATCAACATCAACATCATCATCATCATCACCAACAGCAACATCACCATCATCATCACCACCATCACCATCATCATCACCGTCATCATCATCATCATCATCGGGACACCGACGGGAATCCACATCATCATCGGGACACGGACGGGACACCGACGGAACACCGGCGGGACACCGGCGGGACACCGCGCGGCACCAGCTGCCTGGTCAAGGTTTTTTCCCTCCGGCCGCGCCTCAGCCACACTGGACGCCAGCGGGACACCGGCGGGACACCGCGCGGGGCACCGGCCGCCCGGTCAAGGTTCTTTTGCTCCAGCCGCGCCTCAGCCACAGGAGACTTTCTATCGCCCGCCCACGCAGCTTCGCCTCGCCCGCACGGCACGCACGAACACGAAACCGAAATCCATTTCCCGGTAGGGGGGCTCTCCGTTCCACTTCGATCTCCCCCCCTCACCTCCGATAACTGTTCCATTGGCTGTTGCACCTATTCATGGTTCTCGCGCTGTCGGCTAACCGACGCTCCAAGACATTCCAAGATGCCTCCAAAACTGCTCAGAGACAACCGAAGAAGCACCCAACACAGCCCACCGAACATCCCCAGAGGGCTCCAAGACAATCTGAACCCGAGCAAACCTGAGTTAGCTCCGAAAAACCACTCTGCCCAGACCGCCCCCCCGACCTTATCCTCTTCAAATAATTGAAAACTGCGGCCCGACGGCGGCCCCGCGGCCCAATCCTTCTCCTGCGCCACCTCATCGTCACCAGCCGCCGAGGTTGCCGCCCTCCCCGGCCCCGCCGTCTCGCCAGGGCGGTCGAATGGATCAAAACTGCGGCCCCGCGGCTCCATCCGCTCACTCCTCCGCGTCATCCTCCTGCTGCGGCGCCCCATCGCCACCAGCCGCCGAGGCTGCCGCCGCGCCAGACCCCGCCGCCTCGCCAGGGGGGCCGCCTCCGAACCCGAACCCGCCGCCGTCCTCGGCGCCGCCGAACCCGAATAGATCGCCGCGACCCCCCGAGGCCGACGCCGCGCTCGGAGACACCGCCTGGCCATCGGCCCCCGGCGCCGCCCCCGTGCTCACGCCGGCGCCTCCCAGCGCATCCGCCGCCGAACGCTTGAGCACCGTCTTCACCTCGAAGACGGTCGCACTCGCCACCACCCCATCATCCGTCTCGTACCCCTCCAACTTCACCCCAACCGTCCACTTGACCTCCCTCGCCCCCCTCACGACGCCGTCCAGGTTCTTCCGCGCCGCATCACCACCGCTGACGGACGCGCTCTCCAACTCCGCCACGTGCTGCGCCGAAACGCCGAGGAGCTGCTCCCCCTAAGCCCCCAAGACGGTCACCCATGCCATCGCCCCATCTTCAAAGAGCAACCGCACACGCGCGAACATGAACGGCTCCGTATTCGCCACCTCCTTGTCGCACCGCCAGCAGAAGCCCGCCGCCGTCTTGGTGTGGCACGTCCGCCCCTCCACCGTCTTCTCCAAACACGCTTCGTAGAAAGGCGCTCTCTTGCGGTAAACGTCCACCAACGACGCCGCCACCTTCACGTGGTGCACCTCCTCCGCATTGCCGCCCTCGATGGCCTCGTGCAAGCTGCGAAACCCAACGCCAGTCACGGCCACGGCATCGGCCAAGGGCGGCGCCCGATGCACCCGAGTCGCCAACTCCAGGGACTCGTACCAGCGCACCATCTCCGGAGCCTCCATGGCCCGAATGGCCCCGCCGCCCCTCAGCGTCGCCTTCAGCTTCCCCTCCCCCGCCGGCCGCAAAGACAAGCCGTGCACCATCGCCGGATACGGCGGCGCCCGCTCCAAGACACCGCCGCGCAGCACGCGCGCGCCCTTGCCCCGCACGTTCACAGCAAGGACGCACGCCGTCGGAGACTCGACCGCAACCTCCACCTCCATCACCTCGACGCTCCGGTCCCCACCGCCCCGGTCCTTCGTCACAATGCTGCGGTGGACGTGCTTGATCTCACCGACCTTGCTCACCGCGCCCGCCACGTGCCCCGGGCGCCCGCCCGAGGTCGCCACGCACGCGGGCACGTCCCCAAGCCCGATGGCGCCAGCCGCCAACTTCTGCACACCGAACTTCCTGTCGAACGTCATGTCGTACATGATCGTCGACAGGGACGTCTCGTGACCTCCAGCGAACCCTGCCCCGATCGCGCGGGCAACGTCCCCCGCGCGCGCGCGGGTGCCCCTCATAATGGGAACTCGCGTGAACGAAAGAAACATTGCCCGCGCCCCTCCCCAAACGATCCCCCCCGAAACGAGCAAGAAGATCCGACCGCAACACCGATGCAAGCAGAGCGACACACGCAGATCGCGACCACCACATCACAACCACCACAACGCGACGATAGAGACAGGCCGAAGCGAACGAAGCAAAGAACAAGCCGCCAGGGCACCGACGTATCCCCACCATGCCCCCACGCAGACGCAGCGCCACAGGCACGTCCACGCACGCCGAACGCATCTCGTCCACCGCCTCGCCGAAGAACGTCATCGACACCACCCGGCCAAGGGCAAATCCGGCAGCGACCCCGTACACGCGCTCCGTCTTCCCATCTTCCTTGTCGATGAACGTAAAGGTCTCCACCGCCTCAGTGACCGGACCGTGCAAGCGCCCGCACGCAGCAAAGGCCAGAGGTCCACTGACGACCGGCCGACGGCCGCTCCGCTGGATACCTAACCTGCCCCCGCCCAGGATCGGAGGAAACGAGCGCGCGCCGCCACATGGAGCTACCGCCCCACCCTACAAACCCCCCCTCCCATTCCCGACCCCATCCCATCCCGCCGCCCACAGGCGATCCCGAACCGCCGAGCACGCCACGCCCAACACCTGCACGTCGACGCACGCGTTCCGCATGCTGGCGTCCAGCCTCTCCAGCCCAACCGGCCGCGCCTGCTCGGGCTTCCTCTTGGGCGCCATGACCCTGCAAAGGACCGAACCGCGAAACTCTAACGGGCACGACGCAACAACCGCGCAGCGGCCACGCACGACGACAGCGACGACGACCCCGACCTCTCCCGCACGCCCTGGGCTGGATTGCATTCGATCCCCAAGACCAGATCTGCCTCGCCTCGTCCCCGCGCGCGCTCGTCAACAGACCGGGCGCGTCGAACCCAAATGCTGCGAGGCGCGCGAACGTGCCATGATGACGCAAACGGACAGTAAGAGGAAGAAGAAGCGACACAGAGAGCCACGAACAACGCCCCCGCGAACTGGCTACCGTGGCCCTCTTGGTGGCCTCTGGGGGCCTCCAGGCGGCCTCTAGGGCCAGAGACCTCGAAATATCGGTTGGCGGTCCCCCTCTGGGCCCTCTCTTGGGGAGCTCTTGGGGCACAGTTGGGTTGTCTGGGGAGCCTCCTGGGCCGTCTTGGGGCCCTCTTCGGGGCCTCGTGGCCCGTCTTGGAGCGATCTGAAGGGCCTCCGAGCGAGGCCGAGAGGGAGCGCTGGGAAGCGGGGGAAGCAAGAACGCCTAAATCCTTCAGAGACCATCGGAACATTAGTGAATCTTGCCTCCCAGGGCTCTCTTGGGGAGCCTCTTGAGTCCGTCCTGGAGCGTGTTGGAGTCCTCGTCGGCCGTCTTGACGGCAGCTTGGGCGTCTTCGGGGCCTCTTGGGACCTTCTAGGGCCCTCTTCGGGACCTCCATTAGCCTGTCGTGGCCTGCTTCGGGGCGCCGTCAACCAATGCCGGCGACCGACGCGGGACCGACGCGGCCGCCGCGTGCCCTCAGGCATCGCACCCTGTTGGGAAACGGGAGACCCGCAACTTACCCATAGATCCTTGCGGGGCCTCAACCACATGGGAACCCAAGGCAAGGTGGCGACGCGCTGAGCGATCAGCAGCGCGGGCGACGACGGGGCGAGTAGGGAAAACGGCGACGATAAAGCACCGACGAGGAACATCAAAGCGACCTGCCACTCGCACGACAACTCCACATGCCACACAGAGACGCCCCCCCTCACCCCTGAGAAACTCCAAGAACCCCAGAACCAGGCAACACCTTTTTTTCTCATAGCGCGGCGAGCGTGGGCCTTAGAGCTCCCGGAACACAAGCCCTGCGCCGCCAGGATGGCCGCCCACCAGGCCACGTGCGCCTCCAGCGTGCGAGCGCGCCCCGGGGCAATGCCAACGCGCGCCTCCAGCAGCGCCTACTCGGTCCATCCGTTCAAGCCCATCGGCAAGGAGCAGGCCGCTCACGCCCGCACACGGCACTCATAAGCCGCATGCGACTGCATGCATGCCTGCATGCCCGCCATCCAGAGCCGCCCCTGCGCGAGCCGCACCGCCCCGCGCGAGCCCTTCCCACACCGCCCCGCCGCGCGGGTTTACATACACCATGAGGTGCACCTGCGCCGGCTTCTGCTCCCCCACCCCGCCCTGCACCGCCTGAACCTTCGCGTCATTGTACATCCAAAACATACCGCCCGGCCCGCGGCACATGGACGTGTAGTGCCCAGAACGCACCGTGGCCCCGTTGTGAAAAAGCACCCCCGCCAGCACCATGCGCGGAAACCCCGGCAGCTGGATCTCCTCCTCCACGTCCACGCGCCGGCGCAGCAATACGCCCTGGCCCCCCGCCGCCACCGGACGGATCACCCGCGCGAAGAGCACCGTCGGCGGCTCGCGCACCCGCCATTGCAGCACGTGCACCTGCCGGGACTCACACCTCGGGCACTCGAGGCGATCCGCCTCCTCCTGCACCTCGGGCCCGCACGCGCGCAGATACAGCTCGGAGGTCGTCGACGACACCCTCCTGTCCTCGGGCGTGGCCACGCACACCATCTCGGCCGACCCGTACCTGGCACGGCAAAGACCACACGAGCGGCACCGCGAGCGCGTGTCTGTCACACTCCTGAACAGGCGATCCCAGTGCGTAACCTGGAAGCCGTCCTGCCCATGGAGCCATCCATCGCCCCACGGCGCGCACCGACCGGCATCCAGCTCCACCTGCCGAAGCCCCAACCAAGGCTGCCGATCCCGTGGCCGCTAAAACAATCTCCGAGAGAGAAGCAACACAAAAGCAAAAACACAAATAAACAACACACACACACAAAAAATAAACATAACGCAGTATACAATCAGTGAAACGAATTTCCCTCCAGCAAAATACAACTTCCCTGATTATGTTTTCGCAGCCACGTGTCTCCGAGCCCTCGCCCGACTTCCGAACCTGACGAGCTCTGTGGAACCAATGCCCAAAGAACTCGCTGGCGTCCCACTGCTGGTCATCGCCGTACCGCTCGTCCACCGCCGCCCTCTCCTGCGCGAGCCTCGGCTTCCGCACCCCTGCGCGGCGCGACGCCGCCATGACCTGCCCCAGCGTTTCCCGCAACAAGCACACGACACAATCCTCTCCAAGCAACGCCCTGGGGCACTGGTCTCGCCCATGTCTCGAAAGGACCTCGTGCGCGGACGACACCCGCAGGAGCAGCTGCAGGACGCCGTTGACGTAGCACGTGTTCCCTAAATTCCCCATGCCCACCACGGGTACGCCGGCGACCTCTCCCCATCCACCGTCTTGCCACTCCTCAGCGCCCGGCACGACAATGGCAGACGGCGCGGAGATCTGAACACCCTCGCCCAGCCCCTCCGCCTCGACGACGAAGTCCTGATCGAACAGCGACTCCCTGCCGAAAGCCGCATCGTGCAACGCCTGCCTCCGGCGTGCCCTCTCGCGAGCCGCCCTCTGCTGGCCCCGCGCAAACGCCTCGCGGTCCCTCTCCGCGGCCCTCTCCCTGTCGAGCCTCTGCTGATGCCTGGCAGCCTGCCGGCGATCTCGGACCTCCTGCGCCTCTCGCTCCCCGCCGACCTCACAGACCCTACACACCTCCCCGCGCCGCGCCCGGGCTGCCTCCGCGCGCCCCCTGCCTCGCAGCGCAAAGACGTCTGCCACGTCCACGTACGCCATCAACCCGAAGTGGTCGGACGCGCAAAACTGCACGCCTTCGAACGCGACAGGCCCCCGCGCCATCACATGCGCCCGGGCAAACAACTTCTCCCCGAACATCGCGCGGTCAAAACGAAACCCGGGGCCGCTGTACTGCTGATCTGCGAAAAACCTGTTCCACCTGACGCCCCAGGTCTTCCCAGCGCACGTGGCATCGCACATGCCCTCAGCCTCGCACAGCGCTGCGACCTCTTCGTCCCGCACGTTCAAGTCGCCCACGACCAAGACCCTGGCACGCTCCGCCCCGCTCTCGTCCAGCGACCGCAGCGCCTCTCCCAGCGCGGCAGCGCGCTGCGCCGCCCTGTCCCCGGCAGGCAAATGCACTGCCAAGACGCAGACCTCGTCCGCCGCGGCACCGCCTCGGCCCGGCGCCACCCTGACGCGCGCAGCCACGCCAGCAGCCGAGGAAGCCTCACACAACAGCCGCTCCGCCTCCATGCCCCTGCGAACGTACAAGTGGACGTACCCCCGCGTCGCCGCTGCCGGCGTGGCGCCCAAGAACTGGCACTGGTCGAGCAGCTCGCCCATCGCGCCCGCCCCCTCGCACTTCTGCAGCGCCACAACGTCGCAGCCGAAGGCCCTCCGCCACCCCAAGATCTCGGCAACCAAGGCTGCCCTCTGATCTCTCCCCCCATACCTGGAAGGAGCCTGCGCCGACCAAGACCCGCCGGCCACGTTCCACGTGCCCACGCGCAGCCGCACCCCCGCGGTCGCCCCGTCGCGGCGGCCCCGCTCCAGAGCAGAAGTCCGCCCCCCGGAGACGCTGCCGGCCGCTGCTTCCGCGCCCTCCCCCTCGGCCTCGCCGCCCCTGCGCACCAGCGACGGCGCGTGGCCCAGCGACCGCAGCACCGCCCTGCACGCGTCCACCTCAACCAACAGAACAGAAACATCCGAAGCGCCCTCCTGCCGCAGACGCGTCCGAAAGCCCGCGAAGACTGCCGCCACCGCCTGGCCCGCGTCTGGCACGAACGTCTTCGACGCCACGTCCAAGCCTCTCTCCCCGGCAGCCCTGGACACCAGAGAGAGCAAGACCCCGAACGCGCAGAGGCAGCGCTGCTGAGACACCCGGCACTCGGGAACCCCCTCCTCCACGATCGTCTCCGGCCCCGCCTGGCCCGCCACCGCCGAGGCGGGTCCGCGCACCAACGCGTCCAAGTTCAAGGCCACTCGACGCGCGGCACCC